GTACTTGTGTTTCTACAGGATCAGGGTTCTTCTTTGCTAAATTGTTCAGCGACCCATCATGACTTCTTCAGTTGGATTACTTAGCCAGACGTCTTCAGTCATCTGAATGAGCTGAATATGAGTTTTTAAGGATGACACAAAAACATAATTGTGTTGGGAGACAAAGTGAGAGCCTTTGGAAAGAAGCTTGGAGCCTGGTCTGTTCAGCTTCAGAGTGGAAACTTTGAGTCATTTCCACTGAGTTGCAAGTTTATGAAATTGCCGATGCCGAGTGTGAAACAATTAAACATTATGATTGAACATATTCTTGAACTTAAAAAGCAGCGGCAGGATTACTTCCCACCTGACAACGAACTTGGCAGGAGGTGGATAATTAATCTGCTCAACAAAAGAGTAGTTGAGTCTGCCGAATTTACAGGAAAACTACAAGATAAACTTATTGAGCTTTTATCTGATAAAACACTTCAGTGTTGGTTTTCTTCAGAAGACATGTGCATGTTTTGGATGGCACAGAAGCATGAGTATCCCGAACTTGTAACCGAAGCTTTGAAAGTTTTTAATCCCATTCACAACATCCTATTTATCTGAATTGGGATTCACATTGATGGTTGCGATTAAAAACAAAGCAATGAAATAAATTATCTGTGGAGAAACACCTGCTGCTGAGTGTTTATTCAGTTCAACCCAAAGTAAAAAAAAAAAAAATTAGTTGGTACAAAATGAGCACAAGTGCCTGATTGAAGGACTGTGTAAAACTTGCAATTTGTAAAAAGTGAATTTACAGTTTTTTCTGTGTAAAAATGAACTTTGATCTGGCACACACAGTTTTTTTTTCTTACCTTCGATTATGACACCCCCCCCCCCACCTGTCCCTCAAACCCCCTTCCCTTTCCCAGGGATTATGTCTCCCAGGTTGAGAAACACTGATATGTAGCAACAGATTGCAGCAGGAGGAACCATGAGCTATATTTACTTATTGCTATAGGCATGCCTTGAAGTTGGTATGCCCAGGATGTGTTAAAAATAATACTAACCTAAGAGATACTGGTGCAACTGTTTATAAAATCACAGAATTAATTAAAACCTCACCCAGATGAGATGCTGTGTTTCGGGACATTAAACATGAAGTGTTAAGTACATTAACAGGCATCTGTGTCCTCTGTCCAACAAGATGGACTCTGTGCAGTAGCATTGGATTCAGTTTCTGAGAACTACCTTGCACTGTTTGCAGCTTGGGAGGCTACAAAGGATGCAATGAATCCTTAAAGGAGAGTACAAATTGGTGGCATTGCACCTAAAATGGAAAAGTTTTTAATGTCCTCGTTATTGTGCTAAGCTGAAAAATCCTAAATATGATAGACAATCTGTTCAGCCTCTGCAGGGTCAGACATTTCAGCAACAGAAGGTGAATTTCTTATGAAAATGATGTTCACTTCAGTCCATCCGATCAGATGAAAGCCGCCACTTATTCTGGGAGAAGAGTTTAAAGATAGTTGACATGCCTGAGCTTCCAAGAAAGAGAAGTTCTCAAGGAAATATAAATAGGGACAGGTGACCTCAGCTATCCAAATACAGCAAATGTATTTTTTAGAAGAACATCTGCTTTACCGTAATTGACTTTACAGTGTCCAGCATTCAATCAAGATTTGAACAGAGACTACAAAATTATTCAGCCTTGAAACTCTCTGCTCGAAACATGAAAAACACAGGTGCAAGATGTGGTTGTTTGGTTCTGATTTCAAGTAGGATCAGCTGATTACTCAGATTTATCTATTGCAAACCAACTGTCAGCTTACAGAAAGATAGTTTGAAGTCAGTTCAAAAATATGTTTGCTCAGCCAGACTGAATGTCAGCTGTTTTCCAAAGTGATGAAGTTGATAACAATATTTTGATGGTATTGGCAGCCAATGCTATATGTGAGTGTAGTTTCAGCGCTCATCATTTTAAAACATGGTTTCGATCCATAATGGGACAATCACGTCTCAACTGGCATATGATTTTATAGGTACAGAAGAACATAACTCACTCACAGCTTACAGGTGTTGCCAAAGAGGTAATTTAATGAAAACTAGGGTGAAGGTTGTTATCTGAAACTGTCAACTTTGTAAATACATTTTTTTTAAATTGTTTTAAAAATAAGGCTTTAGATGATTAGTTTTGTGCCCGAACTGAATTTGTCCACCTTTAATAAAGATAAATGAACTTTTTGTTTCAAACTCACTGTTTCCATTATTTATTAATGCAAACTCTGCATATTTTGGGGGGTCGGGAGGAAGCTATAGCTCCCCTCCCACCGCACTCATTATCTATTCCTGTGGTTCTTCTAGAGTAAGTCTGTGGGTAGCTGGGTTGGTTAGTATGTTTGTTTTTGTCAAAGCAAGCAGAGTTTTTAACGTCAAGTCGGATTTTTTTAAAGAGACTTAAAAATCATGAGACTTTAAAATAAAAAAGACCCAGAATGTTTGGGGAGGGTTTGGTCTTCTGGTTCGAGTGTTTAGTTTTCACGTTTTTAGCTCTCTTCCCCCTCTCTCCCCCCCCCCCCCCCATCATTAGGGCTAGAAATTTCCTCTTCTAAAAAATGAAAGCTGAGATTCTCATAATTACCCAACTCCAGGAACTGGGGCTTTAGGAAATATACCGAATACTATAAGGCTTGCAATAAAATCATTAGAGTTGGCAATATTGAATAATCTTTCTTTATATATTGGCTTTTCTGTTGCAAGCTTCCTTGTAGAACACTTTCAAATAATAAAGCAGCGCTTTGTTTTCATCATATCTTTGCATTTTGGTCTCCACTTTTAGTGTTGTGGAGCTGAATATTTGGTTCATAAGAATACACAACTTTATTAAAGTATATTTACATAAAACCAAACTTGGAATGGAAAATCTGATATGAAACTCAGAAAATTTGTGGATTGAGAACCTGCGTATTAAAATGCTTCCGTTTTTGTCATATTTGCACTATGTTCTTAAAATCAACTTTCAGCTTTAAAAAAAAAAAAAATCATACCAGTGTTTTTGGATTGAGCAATAAGTGATAATTTGCAAGGTGGTTTGAAAATTTCTTTTACTTTATGAAGCATCTGTTATCAGACCATGTGTGTAGAATGTTCTTTTTTTTTATTTTTTAAGATAGTACACAAATGTATTCAAATATCCATTCTTCTATCACCATTTCAGTCAGAGCTAGAATTGTCATTGTACTTGATTAATAAAGGACTGATAAAGTGGAATGGAGCTGGCTGGCGTAAGCTATAATTTTCCCTTTGTTAGTTCAGCAATATATTTCCAGTTACATCAGAATCTTTCCTTTGAACTCCCACTTGCAGGGAAAACAGTTTATTAGAAGCAGGTTTAATTTTAGAAATAGAAAATGGTAATCTGTTTATTTCTTCAACATTTTATATTCAAATACTATTTTCATTATCTGTGCTTATGTTGGCTAAACTAGCCAGATGCTGGTTTTTTTTTTTTTTTTTTTGTATTTTTTTTTTGTTTGGTTACTTAATTTTTTTTTTTTTAATGAGACCTCTTAAATACACGTTGAAAATGAAATCTAAAGTTAGCCATGGCTTGTCTGAATAAACGTTCCATTTGCAGCCCACAAGTTGGCAAAATATCCATCTGTTCTACTTTCTTAATAAGTAGGGATGCAATTTGGTCACGGATTCCATGACTTTGCTGGACCTCTGTGCCTTCAGCTTCAGCTGTCAGCAGCGGGGGCAGAGCCAGGGCTGTGTCTTCCTCCCTCCCTCCCCCCCCCCGGTGGCTGCAGCCAGAGCCAGGGCTGTGTGCCCATTGCTTTGGCCGGAATCGGGGCTGCGCCAGGGGCTGAAGCCAGTGCTGTGCCCCCCTCCATGGTGGTGGCCTGTCCATGACTTTTACTAAAAATAACCATGACAAAATCTTAACCTTAATAATAAGCAACACTTCTTAAAGAAACATTGGAGCAAAATATTTTAAAGTAACATCTTTACAAACCATATGATTTTTGAATATGCCTTAATTGCAGAGTTGTTGACGTGAACAATAGAACCCCAACAGGCTTGTTCTGCCTACTGTCCTGGTCCTGTAGACTTAGGTCTCATACTTTTTTCACCTAAACTCATCAGGTAGTTGCTTACTCCTTCCAGTTGTATGTTATTGACAACCTCTAAAGGAGTCCCATCCTTAAATGACTGTAAGGCTTTGTCTACACTGGAAACTGAATTAGCTTAGCACTTTCCAGGAGGGAGGAGCAGGGAGCCACATGCTCAGGGGAGGAGGTGGAGAAGAGACGGGGCAGGGGCGGGGCCTCATGGAAGGGGTGGAGTGGGGGCAGGGCTGGGGGCAGCGAGGGGGGGTGTCAGTGATGCGGCCCTCAGGCCAATGCACTAGTCCTCATGTGGCTCTCTTGGTCATTTGAGTTTGAGACCCCTGAGCTACACTGTGTACCTTTTAGCGGCACAGCCGTGTTGCTAAAAGGTACATCGTGTAGACAAAGCCTTAGAGTAGTTATCAGGATGTAGGGCTTTGAGGTGGTTACGAGCTGGTGAGGAAGGAATTGGGGAATCACAAAGGCTTTTATCAAGTATGGGAACTGATGAGGAGGGAAAATTTGATATGAAAACTCGCAGTTCACATATATTTGTAGAGAACTGTGCTGATCCTATGAAAAAAGTTATAAAATTTTAATTAAGTAACTTCACTGTTTAATTGAGGTAAGTGCTCAAAAAATGTATACTTAGGATATAGATGGCCCTATTTTAAGGGAGATGTGTGACCCAATTTAAATCTATTTTCAAGTTCACAACTAATTCCTTCAGTAGAAAAAACAAATAAAATGAAACACATGCTGTTTTTCTGTGGATTAAAGGCCTCAAAGATTAATTTTTTTTTAAAAATAGGCTTCTTTACAAGGTCTTAAATTACAAACATATTATTTGGCCAATCCCACCCCACCCTGTTGCAGTCTCTGGTGGCATAAATGTTTCTGTAATGGATTTTCTTTGTTTTGCAGCTGCTGCGAGAGCTCAAGCATCCAAACGTCATTTCTTTGCAAAAGGTGTTTTTGTCTCATGCTGACAGGAAAGTGTGGCTTCTCTTTGACTATGCTGAACATGACCTCTGGGTAAGATGAATTGCTTGTAGATAATGGGTTTTGGGTTTCAGTCAGGAACAGATAAACTGATAAATGATATAAGTGTACCACAACTGAAAAACAATGTGTGTGGGGGAAAAGATGTCTCATACTTATATTGTGTTTGCTACATTGTTAATCTTTATCTTCAGAAATAGTATTTAGACCTGCATTCTGCAGTGATATTTACAAAATTAATTACTGTAATATTTGTTCAGCTATAGTGTATACCTTTCTAATCATTTTATTAATAAGAGCTTTTGTGTATTAGTTGAATTGCTGTAATTTTTGTCTGAAAATACCATTTGACATCCTTTGGAATGTAAGGAAAGACTCCGGGACACACAGCATGTATCTCAAACTGAGATCAGTGGTGAAGTGCACTGGAACATGCCTCATGCTAACTTACACTATATCTGACCTGTGAATAAACCAAATAGGCTCAATCAAAATGTACAGACATAAAAAGTTCATTGACTTATTTCAGAGTTGGGGTCTTCCCGCTGATCTCATGTTCTCCCTCTACAGCTTCATCTTTTGTAAAATAACTAGCCTTTTTAGTTGTGAATTAGTTTTTTAAAAAAAATATAAATGTACTGCATCCAGAGAAAATAAAATAGTAATGCCAACAGAAGTGCCAGGCTCCCCTGTTAATTTCTTGTCATTAACTGGAAAATTTAGCTGTAATGTTGGTAAACAAGTACCCAAACCACCATCATTCAGCTTGATTTCACTGGAGTTTAATTTAAAGGGACACAATCTATTTTGTTTTGGATTCTGAGCATAGCTGTCAAATCCTTTGACCTCCTGTGACAATAATAATAATAAAAAAAAGTGTTACGAGGTTTCAAAAAGAGGGACACAATGAAAATATCAAAGTTTGATGTGAGATGGGATTTACTTATGTACATACATATATATTTCTATAACCCCTTTCATGATTTAGCATTTCTGCTGTCTGTAACTTATAATAATGGACAGTGAGATAAGAACAGGTATCTCTTGGATGGAAATAACACATTTTAGATTCAAATTTATGTGCCTTATAATTAGGTATAGTTTAGTAGGATATGACTAAGGACTAGTGCAAAGAGAAACCATCTTCAACTATAATTTGACACAGGTGTTCTCTTCCAGTTTAGTACTTGTTATATTGCTGGTACTAAAATTTAAAACTTTTAGGCTTACCTTTTACACTGGTATAAAAGTGGCTGTAATCATGGTATTTATCTTGCAGACTGCTAAGTTCTGGAATGTAGAGAGCACAAGGCTAACGTGGCCCCTTTTTCATGTTTTGCCCATGTTCATGAAACGATAAAGTACAGATGTTTAGGAACACTTGAGTAATGTTTTATTATTATTTTGAAGATAGAAAAGGTGGGCATTTAAAAAAAAACAACAAAGTTCTGAATTAGCTCAGAACATTGTGATGGACAGTTATACCTAGGAGACAGTGACCCAAATATCAGCAGCACATGAGCAACACCCAGCTTGAGGTCTCTTGCATTTTATGTAAACACCTGAATTCCGTAGCTGTTTTGTCTTCTGAATGATGACAGTACCTGCATGAAAACAGTCTGACTGTGTTATGGTAGTGCCTGAAGGAGACTCCGACATGGATCAGGCTCTACCATGCTAGGCACTATACAAACACATAACAATCCCCTGACCCCAAGGAACTTGTAGAAAGGAGGAAATACTTGAAGTGATAGCTAACACCATGACACAGCCTCTTCTGTTGAAGGTGGTGGCATCGGACCTTTAGGCATCACAGTTTACAGTCTAGAAGTCCTCTTGGACTTCATTGGTTCTGGGTATGCAAATAATCATAGCCATAATAAACACTTTCTACCTATGACTTACCAGATGATTATTAACTTTGGATGGATGGATTGTGAACCTGACAATGTTCATGGTTTCTTCCAACAATTACTATTAATTTTAGTGTTTGCTTTTTCAGAAGGGTGGAAGCAAACAGCTGCACACACATGCATGTGCATTTCCTGGTCAAACTACTGTAAAAGAGAGTTTTTAAAATTCCAAAGGAAAAAGTTTGATGCAAATATTCCCTTGCAGTGATTGCAACCCAAATATTGCATTGTGATAGTGCAAGAGAACCTGAAAGTGATATGGACTATAAACTGACTGATTTATTATTATTGTGCTGAGATGCAAAAAATAAACGGCATGTCTAATGAGAATAGATTAAGAGTTGTATTCTTTTCGTTTTAATAAGCTACCATGTTAATGAGGGATTGAGGAAATTGTTTTGAAAACTGACTTGTAAACTGGTGGTAACCTTAAAAAAAATTTTTTTTTGATTGTGGTAATTTATATAAAAAACTTCCTTGGGATGATGTCTTTCATTTTAATTTCCTTTAGTTTTTACCTGTAAATGAGTGTTTTGTATCATAATACTTTAGATGCTATTATTCTTGTAATAACTTTTAAATTACATGGTTTTAAAAATGTATAGCAATAAAAAAGATTAAAAAAGCAACTGGCAAGCCTACATAAGGAATCACTGGAGATTTCTCTTTTTTGTAAAACATTATAGATCAAAACATTACATTTTTTTCTTGTTACTATTGATATTTTTCTCTTCCAGCACATAATCAAGTTTCACAGAGCTTCTAAAGCAAACAAGAAACCAGTTCAGTTACCTCGGGGAATGGTGAAGTCACTATTGTATCAGATCCTAGATGGTATTCACTACCTGCATGCTAACTGGGTGTTACACAGGGATTTGGTAAGTTGACCTGCAGTGGGGATTAACACGGGGTAGAAGATTTGAGAGCAAAGATTATTGTCTTTACCAGTAGTCATTAGCAAATAGACCTTTATGTGCTAAGAACGTAAACATATGTGTAAAGCCTGCTACTATTTGACACGCATTTGATGATTCCATTCTTATAAAAATGACGCATGTCTGATTGGTTTTTATTTTGTTAAGTCATTAGAAGTTGCATGTGTATGTAATTGGGGGTGGATATTTGGCTGTCAGCAACTTTTAAAGTAAAAAGGCATGCACACAATTTTTTTTTTAATTGTCTGTTAAAAATGTCAGAGGAGATACTAATATATATACTTTAATACACTGAAATAAAAACATGAGAGGTCATTCAGAAGCTACCAACGTTATTGCTCTGTAGATTTCTTTGAAGGCCTTTTGCGAATAGCCCTTGTTTATTATAAATACATTACAAGCAAAACTTTGACTGCCTGAGCAAGTGTTTATTAAAAATCCAAGTAAATTGCAGTTAACATGTAAACTTGATAAACACTTTTTCCAATTTACTATATATTTAGTTGCCTCTGGAACATATGCTCATGACTTTTTGCATAGAATAATAATAGATGGTGTGTCTGACTGTTCCATCTTCAGAGTTAAATCCTAGATTGCCCTTTCTTACTGCACAATTATCTGTAGCTTTTATTCTTTTCTTCTAAAAGCCAGTAAATATAATGAGGTTTTTAATAGCACATTCTTTTCAAACTATCTCTGAACATAATGCTGTAAATGATAATTTAGCTCCTAATCACTGAAATTTCAGTAATGCATATAAGTAGCATATATAGCTTCTGATGTAGAGCTAGTTTGACCCTTCACATGCGCATGCCTGCAGTGCTAGTGTTGATTTATACTTAATGCATTAAAGCCCATATTAGCTACTGCAGTGTCAGTTTTTAGGCCTTTCATCTAGCTTTAATGATCCTCCTTGAAATGTAGTTAATGATGGTTATTTTATCTTTCATGTTCATGCCTAGCAAATGTTAAAATAGTGCCCATAGTACTGTGTAAATGGATGAAACAGTTTTATCCTCTCTGTAAAATTGAATTTTCAGAGAACTGAAAATGTAAGGAAACTTTGTTCATGAAAGTAAATAATTGTACTGCGTGGATATTACTTATAATTCTCTGCCAGTGTTATAAACTTAAAAAAAGAAGCCTCAACCACTCAAAGGAAAAGATTTCTTTGTAAAATTTGTGGTTAATATTTTTTCATTACTTTTTTATGAGCTAGAAGAGTTAACTTCAAAAGTATGTAGAAATACATAGGACATACATTCTTGTAATTGTTTAGAAACATCTTGTTTCAAACCAAAATACGCTGTTGGGTTGTTTTTTTTGCAACTTTATGCCTGCTCCTTTATCTTTCAGTATATTTGTTAGAGTGGTAAAGAAAGCAAGAGAACTGTCCTCAAGAAGCTAAATGTTGCTACTGTTTGACTTCCTACAGTTTCAGAAAATTTATGAACACCTTTAAAAAAAAAAAACGTGATCTAATCAGAGTGCAAAAATTAATCATACATTGTGAACTGGATGGCTCGGGAGATGGGTAATTTATGACAGAGCCTTTCACATCTAGGTCTGTGGTTTGAATATGATCTTAAGTTGGTAGTTGCCAAAAGTTATTGCCAAAATCATGGCTACTTGGTGACCTATGTGAAATGAGTTGGTGGGTCTCAGTCCAGCATGCAGGTTTTCCCAGTGCAAAAACCACCATTGCAACTGGCAGCCGCCTTTTAGTAGTTTGAGCAAAGAGCCAAGAATCGGCATGGAGACTGAGTTGCCTTTTCATCCCAAGAAGCTGTCCTTGCAGAACACTGATGAGGTTTGTTGGCCAGAAAGTTGTTATTTAATATGTTTATTACAGGGGTACCTAAGGACCTAACGAGTCTTGGGTGATATTGTGCTAGGCACTATACAGATAAAGAGTAGTAGACAGTCCCTGCTGAGCTGAGAAGCTTATAATCTAGACAGAGACCAGGTGAGGGAAGGGATATAGCACACAAGCAGAGTGAACAATGTGGTGGCAGCAAATGTCATATTAGGGGCCACAATTTTTGTGTGTGGGGATTTAGTTCAGAGGGTATAAGTTAAATGAAAATAAAAAGGGAGGGGAATGGGATTGAGGGGGACAATACAGGGAGAAGAGGGTAAGAGGAGAGGGTGTGGAATGAAGCTGAGGTGAAGAGACTGTGAGGGAATGGGAGCAGCAGCGGGATAGTTGGAGCAAACAGCTGATCAGCACAGGGCACAGAATGTTCAGTTAAAATTGTAGAAAGTTGTTCACGTGCCTAAAGGACCAAAGGCCCCTGCTTTGACTGCATCTGTCCCTGCTGGCTGTAGTCTCTGCCTGGCTCCTCTCTGCAGTTTTCTCCCAAGCTCACTTGATGGGGAAAGGGAAAGTATCACCTGGGTGCAAGTGCTCCCAGAGTTCAAGGGTCTCCCCTGCTCAGTTTTTGGACCAAAAGGGTGCTGGGGGGGAAGGAGTAGCTGTGGTTGGACCCCATTTTACCCTCTCCCCTCCAGTACAGAAGCTTGTTCCGTGGCTGTCCATGCTATATATGTTCACACGCAACTTCTGTTTCTGGGTTGTCAATCAGAAACATTCACCAGCAGAGAAAATGACTCAATTTAAAATGTACTTAAGTTACACTTTAGGGGATAATAGTGTATATATTAGAGGTGTTTTCTTTAGTTATTCCAGGGCCATTGGAAAATTGTTTATCTTCTGTGGAGATTGTCTGTAAAATACTTGCTTGGTTCCTTTTCTGAATCAATGTTTCTGGCGTTTAATGAGGCAGTACCATACTAGAGCAAAATGAGTTTGCAAAACAGAACCTGGGTGGGCCTGTGTCTCTGGCTATCAAAGGCAGGGTAGTAGAAGTTCATGCTTAATTTGGGAGTAGAAAATTGAATCCAAATGTAATCTATTAAAAAAATGTCTTTTGCAAGGATATCTGAGTGTGCAGGGCTAAAATACCAGCCTTGTAACTCCCCAGCAATCCATTAACTGAGTAAAATGCTGCTACTCTGTTCCCTTAAAAACTCTCCTTGTCACTGTAAGTCAAAATACGTTCTCTCTTTATCGCAATTGTAGGTATGTATAACGTGTACAGTAATGTGCAACAATAGCTTAATACGTTTATCTTCATTTTAAAACTATGTAGGAGAGATGGGAGAAATTACAGGAGAGAATTCCAAGGATAGAATCATAGGACTGGAAGGGACATCAAGAGGTCACCTAGTCCAGTCTCCTGCACTCATGGCAGGACTAAATATTATCTAGACCATCCCTGACAGGTGTTTGTCTAACTTGGTCTTAAAAATCTCCAATGATGGAGATTCCACAACCTCCCTAGGCAATTTATTCCAGTGCTTAACTACCTTGACAGGAAGTTTTTCGTAGTGTACAACCTAAACCTCTCTTTCTGCAATTTAAGCCCATTGCTTCATGTCCTATCCTCAGAGGTTAAGGAGAACAATTTTTCTCCCTCCTCCTTGTAACAGTCTTTTATGTACTTGGAAAACTGTTATGTCCCCCCTCAGTCTTCTCTTCTCCAAACTAAACAAACCCAGTTTTTTCAATTTTCCCTCATAGGGTCATTTTCCTATAATAGACCTATAATCGTTTTTGTTGCTCTTCTCTGGACTTTCTCCAATTTGTCCACATCTTTCCTGAAATGTGGTGCCCAGAACTGGACACAATACTCCAGTTGAGGCCTAATCAGTGTGGAGTAGAGTGGAAAAATTACTTCATGTGTCTTGCTTACAAGACTCCTGCTAATACATTCCAGAATATTTGTGTTTTGTGTGCGTGCGTGCAGCGGTGTTACACTGTGGACTCTTACTTAGCTTGTGATCCACTATGACTCCCAGATCCCTTTCATCAGTACTCCTTCATAGGCAGTCATTTCCCATTTTGTGTGTGCGCAACTGATTGTTCCTTCCTAAGTGGAGTACTTTGCATTTGTCCTTATTTAATTTTATATTGTTTACTTCAGGCCATTTCTCCAGTTTGTCCAGATCATTTTGAATTTTAATCCTATCCTCCAAAGCACTTGCAACCCCTTGCAGCTTGATATCGTGCACAAACTTTATAAGTGTACTCTCTATGCCATTATCTAAATCATTGATGAAGAAAGTGAACAGAACCCGACCCAGAACTGATTTCCGTGGGACCCAACTTGATATGCCCTTCCAGCATGACTGTGAACCACTGATAACTACTCTCTGGGAACGGTTTTCCAACCAGTTATGCATCCACATTATAGTCGCTCCATATAGGTTGTATATCCCTAGTTTTGTTTGAGGCAGTCATGCGAGACAGTATCAAAAGCCTTACTAAAGTCAAGATATACCACATCTATCGTTTTCCACCCATTCACAAGGCTTGTTACCCTGTCAAAAAAAGCTATTAGGTTGGTTTAACACGATTGTTCTTGACAAATCCGTGCTGACTGTTACTTATCACCTTGTTATCTTCTAGTTGTTTACAAATGGATTGCTTAATAATTTGCTCCATTATCTTTCCAGGTACTGAAGTTAAGATGACTGGTCTGTAATTCCCCAGGTTGTCCTTATTTCCCTTTTTATAGATGGGCACTATATTTGCCCTCTTCCAGTCCTCTGGAATCTCTCCTGTCTTCCATGACTTTTCAAAGATAATCACTAATGGCTGAAACAAAAAAGTCATTTAGCGCTTCTGCCATTTCCACATTTTCTTTTATTGTTTTTTCCCCACTCATTGAGTAACGGGCCTACACTGTCCTTGGTCTTCCTCTTGCTTCTAATGTATTTGTAGAATGCTTTCTTGTTACTCTTTATATCTCTAGCTAGTTTAATCTTGTTTTGTGCCTTAGCCTTTCTGATTTTGTCCCTATATACACCGCTACCTCAGTATAACTCGACCCGATATAACACGAATTCGGATATAACGTGGTAAACCACTGCTCCAGGGG